TCTTACGCTTGTGCTCTTTGTTCCACAATACCCACGACGAACAGTGCTTTTAATCGCTAGAGGCTAAAAGGAGTATTGACATCGCAACAATTATTCCCTGTTTCATCGACACTGTTGCGCGGGACTTAATGTACATGTACACCTCCTGTACATGAACAAGTATCGTGAGACTGGCTTTCTTTCTTACGCAAGTGCTCTTTTTCGACAATACCCACGACGAACAGTGCTTTTAATTGCTAGAGGCTCATGCGTTCCTCCGTGTATTGTTCTGTTCATGTCCGCCAATTGGCGCACTAATTGTCCAATTAGAAACGTACATGATTGTACTTGTATTGATTACACCCGTAAAAACGGGGTAATGCCACTGCATGTACAGTAAAGTCATGTAAAATGCGATCGAGTGAGTCACGTTTGCGCCCTGCACCTGTTCGATCTCCGTGCCAGTGTTCGTCACTCTAGGACTGCACAGCGCCCGACGTGGCACCGACTCGCTACATGTACTTATACAGTCATGTACATGTACACACTATGTATAAGTACTTTGAAGTACATGTACAGTGTAGTTGAATGTACATGTAAGTGTAAGTTAGTGCATGGCAGGGAGGGCCTTATGTACCTGTACATGTATAGGATATCGCACGGTTCCGAGGGGATTATTTTTCAAATCCCGAAGGCGCACAGCGCAGCGGGGGTTATTATTATTATTATTATTATTATTATTAACTGGTTTGAGGGAAAGAGACAAACGGGAAAGGTCTGAAGAAAAAATTGACTGTCACCACCAGGACTCGAACCAGGGACCCTCGCTTGTAGCCAGCGATGCTCTAACCACTGAGTTATGGTGTAGTCGTCATCCCAGCAGAGGCCGTTCAACATTTTCTTCAGACTTCGTAACTCACACTTCCTGTGAATCCACACAGGCGGGAGGGACGCAGCCCTCACTGTAACCCACACACTTCACGTACAAACTAGCACGCGGGGAGCCCCAAGTCATAAAATATTAACTGGTTTGAGGGAAAGAGACAAACGGGAAAGGTCTGAAGAAAAAATTGACTGTCACCACCAGGACTCGAACCAGGGACCCTCGCTTGTAGCCAGCGATGCTCTAACCACTGAGTTATGGTGTAGTCGTCATCCCAGCAGAGGCCGTTCAACATTTTCTTCAGACTTCGTAACTCACACTTCCTGTGAATCCACACAGGCGGGTGGGACGCAGCCCTCACTGTAACCCACACACTTCACGTACAAACTAGCACGCGGGGAGCCCCAAGTCGTAAAATATTAACTGGTTTGAGGGAAAGAGACAAACGGGAAAGGTCTGAAGAAAAAATTGACTGTCACCACCAGGACTCGAACCAGGGACCCTCGCTTGTAGCCAGCGATGCTCTAACCACTGAGCTATGGTGTAGTCGTCATCCCAGCAGAGGCCGTTCAACATTTTCTTCAGACTTCGTAACTCACACTTCCTGTGAATCCACACAGGCGGGTGGGACGCAGCCCTCACTGTAACCCACACACTTCACGTACAAACTAGCACGCGGGGAGCCCCAAGTCATAAAATATTAACTGGTTTGAGGGAAAGAGACAAACGGGAAAGGTCTGAAGAAAAAATTGACTGTCACCACCAGGACTCGAACCAGGGACCCTCGCTTGTAGCCAGCGATGCTCTAACCACTGAGCTATGGTGTAGTCGTCATCCCAGCAGAGGCCGTTCAACATTTTCTTCCAACTTCGTAACTCACACTTCCTGTGAATCCACACAGGCGGGTGGGACGCAGCCCTCACTGTAACCCACACACTTCACGTACAAACTAGCACGCGGGGAGCCCCAAGTCGTAAAATATTAACTGGTTTGAGGGAAAGAGACAAACGGGAAAGGTCTGAAGAAAAAATTGACTGTCACCACCAGGACTCGAACCAGGGACCCTCGCTTGTAGCCAGCGATGCTCTAACCACTGAGCTATGGTGTAGTCGTCATCCCAGCAGAGGCCGTTCAACATTTTCTTCAGACTTCGTAACTCACACTTCCTGTGAATCCACACAGGCGGGTGGGACGCAGCCCTCACTGTAACCCACACACTTCACGTACAAACTAGCACGCGGGGAGCCGCAAGTCATAAAATTATTATTATTATTATTATTTTTACTATGTTCACATAACATAATTGCACTTGAAAACACCACCATTCCGGCCACAGGCTCTCAGCTGCATCAAATAAATAACTTTGCCAATGTTTCGCCCATTGGGCATCATCAGGGCATTGAGGAAGGGGAGGCAAAATTACTACGAAATATATAGACGAATAATGCAGGCAGACGAATGTTCTAGAACTAACACATCGTGGTGACACAATTGGCAAGGCCAGCAAACTAAACAAGCATCACTTGTAAGGTGACCTAAACAAAACGAAAGATGAGAAAACTCACACATACACACAGACACAATTTGGCAAGAAAACTAACACTAACACTAAAGTTTACAATCATCACCTGTAAGGTGACCTAAACAGAAGAAAGAGGACTAGTAAGACTATCACAGCACGTACAGGAACACTTTCAAGTGTGGGAATGCTAAAGGCGATCTATGTACATGTATATGACAGCGGTGTATGTGCAAAGTATGTGTATGTGCTGTGTCAGGTGATAAAGTCCAGTGGTATTCTGAAGAAACATAACATAATTATGAAAAATAATCCTCGTGGAGTCGCGGACACTGTGCATTATCCTGTATAGACCACACTTATCGGGTGATCAGCAGCGCAGCATGAACCAGTGCAGTGTGAACGGAACACTGAAGTCAGTTCTGATGATACCGGTAGCCATTGTTTTGTTCGTCGCCTCTCCAGTTTTAGATCCACTTGTTGGTTTGACTGAGGCGAGTGCGGAATGTCTCAGCGCTTTTTCAGCACCTCCATGAGCGACACTGACTCACGCTGCTATCTGGGGTTCACGAGGTGTTTGTCGCGCTGGAAACGGAGCGTCTCTGTAAGTTTGTATCCCTGGTGATGTTTGTGCCTGGAGAGCACTATAGAAGTGGTGCTCTTCAGGCACAATCTTCCTCAGCCTACTCAAGCTCAACTGATGAGGGGTGAATTCCCCGAAACACTGTGTATTGAGCAGGGAGTGGTGCATTCTTGCAGGTTTGCCGAGTTGACGGTTCGATGGACTTCTCTTGTGCTGTGGAAGTGAGAATTCAAGTTGGCAGGAAGACCGCGAGCTCCCATGTTGGGAGCAACACACTCTTCCGCTACTATCGCCGAAGTCGCACCAACCTCTTCTTCACGTTATTTGCAATAACAATAATAATATACATGTACATGTAAAATAAGATACACCTTGCAACGGGATGCTGCAGACAGTTTTTAAATTCTACTGCTGCAGTGCATGTCTAACACTAGCACTGTGTGGGTGTACCCCTTACAAGTCGTTATTATCATTGTTACATTTTTACATGATGTTACGGGGCGTTGCAGGGATAATGAACATGGCAATATCCGGATATCCTTTCCATTCATGACACATTAATAGTCATTATGTTACCTGGAGCTGTTGGCTTTACATGTGCATGTAGATTGGGTATCTAGGATCAGATACTATATACCCAATCTATCACTCGCGGAGGGACAGAAGCGGAGAGAGAAAGAGTAGTGTGTGCGCGAGTGCACAATCATGTACTGTACATACATGTATACATGTACATGTACATGATTGTATAATGACATTGAAGGTGTGTTGGGGGGAGGGGGGGGGGGGGCTTTAGGTGGCGCTGCACTGCTTAGTCATGACATTGATTGACACTATTAAAGACGACCAATAATCCTTACGCGGAGTAAAGTGGAGTAAAGTGGAGTACACTGGAGTACAGTGTTGCATTGTGACTACAATCATGTGCATGACTGTACAAGTACATGATGTAAATACTTATTGAACTACTTTTCATTTCTTGTGAAGTTGTGTACCAAAATAGCTGTTGCAGCACCTCGCCTTCAACTTCAAGGGCATTGAAACGTCATGGAACATACTGTAGTACTGAAACCTAATAATTATTACAAGTATGTGTTGTGAGCCACAGTACTTTTGGGGCATGGGCTGAGTTTGGGCAGCCATACCCATGTCGGTCATGATGAAATCTAAGATTCTCTCTTTTTGGAGAATACCTATCACTGAAGTGCATGGCTTTACCCGTATAACTAAGTTTAACTTAAAATGATCCATTTGGTACATTAATTTTCTTAATGTGCCCAAGCTCCACTGCAGCCACTTCATTAAATGGAAAACCTTACACACACACACCATCTTCCATCCAAGTGGTATCTTCGAAGAGATTGGAGATGGTGTGTGTGTGTGTGTGTGTGTGTGTGTGTGTGTGTGTGTGTGTGTGTGTGTGTGTGTGTGTGTGTGTGTGTGTGTGTGTGTGTGTGTGTGTGTGTGTGTGTGTGTGTGTGTGTGTGTGTGTGTGTGTGTGTGTGTGTGTGTGTGTGTGTGTGTGTGTGTGTGTGTGTGTGTGTGTGTGTGTGTGTGTGTGTGTGTGTGTGTGTGTGTGTGTGTGTGTGTGTGTGTGTGTGTGTGTGTGTGTGTGTGTGTGTGTGTGTGTGTGTGTGTGTGTGTGTGTGTGTGTGTGTGTGTGTGTGTGTGTGTGTGTGTGTGTGTGTGTGTGTGTGTGTGTGTGTGTGTGTGTGTGTGTGTGTGTGTGTGTGTGTGTTTTTTTCTCTTGAGAGAGGAGGAAGCAGTTTTTGGAGCTCCGAACTCTTCTTTCTTCGTAGTGAGTTTAGGGCCACGGGCTGGCTCCTGGCTTCTGCCAGGGCCAACCCTGGTGAGTAGAAAACACTTAGTGACGCGGTGTTAGACAAGGCAGTCTTCATCTTGCTGCCGCGGAGGAGGAAAATTCAGCGTTGACGACATGGCCACTTCGGATGTGACCACTCGCGCTGACCCTCTTTCGCCTGGGTGTAGAGGTCTTGCAAACCCTCGCCCAGAGTCTTTCCACTCGCGTGCACCAGCGGCTCGAAAGGTTGTTCTGTCTCTGGGAACGTGGAACGTCAGGACTCTTGTCGACACTGACGGAAATTTGAATACGGCGTCCAAAGCAAAAAAATCAAGGAAAGTTTGTTCGAATATTCGCGAGGAGAGAAAAATTGCCGCCGCCGTCAGGATATCGCACGGCATCGTTGTACATCGCGGCGTTCAATAGCAATTATAACCCGTGGGAATGCGCCGTCACGTCAGTCGTTGGGTCCTGGTGCCGCTTCCCGGAGACAGCGCTAATCCAAGAGCTGCCCCGTATGGGGCCACTTAGCCAGTCATGGCAGTGGAGAGAGAAGAAGAGAAGAGAAGTGTGTGTGTATGTGTGTGTGTGTGTGTGTGTGTGTGTGTGTGTGTGTGTGTGTGTGTGTGTGTGTGTGTGTGTGTGTGTGTGTGTGTGTGTGTGTGTGTGTGTGTGTGTGTGTGTGTGTGTGTGTGTGTGTGTGTGTGTGTGTGTGTGTGTGTGTGTGTGTGTGTGTGTGTGTGTGTGTGTGTGTGTGTGTGTGTGTGTGTGTGTGTGTGTGTGTGTGTGTGTGTGTGTGTGTGTGTGTGTGTGTGTGTGTGTGTGTGTGTGTGTGTGTGTGTGTGTGTGTGTGTGTGTGTGTGTGTGTGTGTGTGTGTGTGTGTGTGTGTGTGTGTGTGTGTGTGTGTGTGTGTGTGTGTGTGTGTGTGTGTGTGTGTGTGTGTGTGTGTGTGTGTGTGTGTGTGTGTGTGTGTGTGTGTGTGTGTGTGTGTGTGTGTGTGTGTGTGTGTGTGTGTGTGTGTGTGTGTGTGTGTGTGTGTGTGTGTGTGTGTGTGTGTGTGTGTGTGTGTGTGTGTGTGTGTGTGTGTGTGTGTGTGTGTGTGTGTGTGTGTGTGTGTGTGTGTGTGTGTGTGTGTGTGTGTGTGTGTGTGTGTGTGTGTGTGTGTGTGTGTGTGTGTGTGTGTGTGTGTGTGTGTGTGTGTGTGTGTGTGTGTGTGTGTGTGTGTGTGTGTGTGTGTGTGTGTGTGTGTGTGTGTGTGTGTGTGTGTGTGTGTGTGTGTGTGTGTGTGTGTGTGTGTGTGTGTGTGTGTGTGTGTGTGTGTGTGTGTGTGTGTGTGTGTGTGTGTGTGTGTGTGTGTGTGTGTGTGTGTGTGTGTGTGTGTGTGTGTGTGTGTGTGTGTGTGTGTGTGTGTGTGTGTGTGTGTGTGTGTGTGTGTGTGTGTGTGTGTGTGTGTGTGTGTGTGTGTGTGTGTGTGTGTGTGTGTGTGTGTGTGTGTGTGTGTGTGTGTGTGTGTGTGTGTGTGTGTGTGTGTGTGTGTGTGTGTGTGTGTGTGTGTGTGTGTGTGTGTGTGTGTGTGTGTGTGTGTGTGTGTGTGTGTGTGTGTGTGTGTGTGTGTGTGTGTGTGTGTGTGTGTGTGTGTGTGTGTGTGTGTGTGTGTGTGTGTGGTATGTGCAGCGATTTCCAATCGATAGATTGCGGGTTCGATTCCCGACGATTATGGTCACACACGTCTTTCTTCTCTTTCTCAGACTCTTCCTGACTTTTCTTTCATTCTCCTGGGTGGTTACCAACAGCCAGTGCATGCCGGAGTATGTGGTGTGATGTGTGTGCGGGGAAAAAATGAAAAGACCAAAAATAGGGATTCACTGGCCAGAAAATGTCACTCCAAATAGCTGTATGGTGTAGACCAGGCTGAAAAGTGACGGTCAATTCTTCAGCCTTGCGAGCTGTTGAATGGTGTAATCCCAGCACAAGTTGCTATGGCTTCTGCCGTAGCATTGCTATCATCGCCTCCGGCGATGGGCGTCAAAGGTCAAGGTCAAGGTGTGTGTGTGTGTGTGTGTGTGTGTGTGTGTGTGTGTGTGTGTGTGTGTGTGTGTGTGTGTGTGTGTGTGTGTGTGTGTGTGTGTGTGTGTGTGTGTGTGTGTGTGTGTGTGTGTGTGTGTGTGTGTGTGTGTGTGTGTGTGTGTGTGTGTGTGTGTGTGTGTGTGTGTGTGTGTGTGTGTGTGTGTGTGTGTGTGTGTGTGTGTGTGTGTGTGTGTGTGTGTGTGTGTGTGTGTGTGTGTGTGTGTGTGTGTGTGTGTGTGTGTGTGTGTGTGTGTGTGTGTGTGTGTGTGTGTGTGTGTGTGTGTGTGTGTGTGTGTGTGTGTGTGTGTGTGTGTGTGTGTGTGTGTGTAAGGTTTTACATTACTTACTGGCATTAGGTACATTGATACATGTAACAGACGAGCTGTCGATATCTTCAGAACTGCTGTACTCTCTTGTACCATCATCCTTCAATGCGACGGACCCCGCGACAGGCGGTCAGCCTTTGGGTCATCCTGAGAGACTGTAGCCCAGCTCCATAAGGGCAGTGGCCTGGTGGTGGACCAGGTGATGGAGCTCCCGGAGGCACTGGATGTGTCGCCGCCATGCGACACGTCCAGTGCCTCCGGGAGCTCCATCACCTGGTCCACCACCAGACCAGACAGTATAACTAGAATGCTCTCCAACACTACAAAACAACAGGCAACATGAGAAACTACCATCATATACATGTACATGTACATCATACCGGTACAGTAATGGGTACGAGTACTGCTATGTGTCTTTTTATAAATCCCTGGGCTAGCTGGGTGCACAGACTGAGAGAATTTCAAGGTCAGTACGAGTACCAAGGCCTTGCTGACTGACACATGACAGTTAGGGGGCGTTCCAATTGTCTTCATCAACTGTTTGAACAAATGTTTAAAAGAGATTATTAATTTTTAAGTGTCCTATAAACTGACATTAGAACGGTTTCTATCATTAAATTTTAGAGTTTTTCAGTGGATTTGTCATGGCGATGATGACGTCCGATCAGATCGACCATCTTCTCCACGTATTACGTTACGTAGCTATTCCAAACTCTTCGGAACTACAACTATAATCCACCTCTACTGCATGCTATACTGCAGTACTGGCTCTACACGACTCAAACTTGCCAAAGTCACTAAATCAACGTCAACTACAGTAGTCAAGCAACATATCTAGCTGCAACGTCACGAGGGTCCTGGCAAAAGTCCTGCTGCACGGCGGCGGTGCACGTGTGTTGCTCAGCCTCTCCCCGATCATATCCCACTCACTCCCAGTCAGCACTCGGCAGTCCCATCCGGCAGCGGATGAGGTTGGGTGGAGTTTCGAGGAGCTTCGTTTTTCGGAAGAGGCCAATAAGGCCACCTCTTCAGAAAAACAGAACTCCTCGAAAAGTCAAAGAGTGACGATTCGAACGCGCCCTTAGTCGCTGACATGTCGACTACAGAGTGTAGTAGCACTGTCCATCCCACTCCACTCTCCATTCACGTCAAGAAGATGATTGTCACTTTGAAGCGCAGCAGCGTCGGATGCATGCGATAATAATTTTTGTAGGCGATACGAGTAGACTACATGACAATCATACCGTCAGGAAAAGCTGACTGAATAATTATTAGTATGACCAGACTGCACGGCCAAGGCCAGGAGCGGCTTGCTTCGTTTCCCTCACATCAGTCTCCTGGTAGTAGTCGAGAAGCATAGCGTCGCCGGGGCAGCTGCCCTCAGTGCTGGGCCCCAATGGCCTCCGCAGCTTTTCCAAGATCAAGCTGGATGGCTGAGGACGTGGGCGCGTGCAAAATGCTGTCGCCATTTCAGTTCTGCTTTCCTGGAACGCACGACTCCGGGGCGTGCTTGAGACTCACTGGAGGTCCCGTCCTAGGCCTGAGTCCTTTCCTGAATTGCCTCTCCGGAATGCCTGGTATTCGAGAGGTACGAAAACTTTGTATTTCAAGTACCAATGCTCAATACATACTTTTTGAATTTTTGAATATTTTTAACGGAATTCCGCGTTATCGTCGTGACGCGGATTAGAAGAATAGGAGATTGACTGTGGGTGGTTGAGTTGGGAGTGAGCCGTGGAAAACTCAGTAGACCCTAATACCAAGGGTATAATTATAATCCCCCAAGAATGTGCAACTCTGCATATGGGGTCGCCGCCCGCGAAAACTCACATCAATTGTCTCAGGTACGCTCGTACTACGTACCAACGAAGGATAGCGTGCGCCCAATCCCAATATCTGCCATGATCATGCTGGGGATTTGCATACCCGCAGTGATTTTCTGTCAGAGAGAGCTTTTTTATTACTCCCCTACTCACTAAAAATGGGCTGGAAACGTACATGTGATGTGAGTTTTCGCCATCAGCGTACCCCATAGAAAGGGTACCAGGAGTTGCACACTCTTGGGGGCTTACATACTCTTGCTAATACTGTAAGCTGACTAATGTTTACTAATTTTGCGAGAAGCACAACACGAATATTAACCATCGTGGAGTCAGACTTCAACAGTGAGTGTGTATGTGTGGCCACAGAACTCCGCGAACCATGATCTGCCATCGTAAACTCGCTGGTTCTGAGATTTGGCAAAAATGTTGTGACGCGAATACTGGGCAGTTGACAGTGCTGTGATCATTGTGAAGGCTTGATAACAATCCTGTGGTCGTTGTAGCAATGTATGAGCGGGTGCAATATAGCAGGTGCGTCGGAAGGTAGTTTAGTGTGGTACAGGCAGCCATCTGAAGTACAATTTACGCGTGTGGGAGGGGTGGCTGAGCGGAAAATTTTAAAAATTTAGAGTCCAGATGAGTGTATTTAGAGTCCAGATGAGTGTATTTTATCAGTACCTGTGGCAAAAAGTGGTACGGTCAATACCGTAGTGACCGTACCGTGTCCGACGCCCCTGTATAGTGATATCATAATATTGGCGGGATCCGCGTCCGCATCGCTTGAGTGTTCAGAAACACACTAACTAGCCTTCTCATCCGCAGGCCACCACTATGCCTGAGCACCTTATCGGCGAGCGAGTGCAAACATGCCAGTTACTGTCTAAGGCCTTGGCCACCCGATATGTCAGGCCCGCTGCGTCAACGTCTGAATATTGACTTTTCCATGGCAACCGACAAAAAGGCGGGAAAACGGAGGGTCAGTTGCACCAGCGTGAGGCGCGGGCAAATCAGCTGCTTTGATGCTGCGTCTGCAAATGCATGCATGAAAAAGCGGTGTCTTTTGAAATTTCCGTTCCGTACCGTACTGTTTCAAGCGAATTGGTTCGGCACAGAGTGGTTTTGTGCAGCGCATCAGGCCGCGACAGCAAAAGCACGAATGCATTGTGATTCCACGTCAGCGTCAAGTGCTGGGGTTCGACGCTGCGTCCAGCATCAAACTGGACGAAGTGTGGCCGAAACGTAAGCAGAGATATCCATCGCAAATTTGACTTCCCTCGTTCTTGTCCGAAGAGATTTCGGACTAAATTTCATGCAGGCCTAAAAGTCGATTTGTCTAGACTTTCAGTATGTTTGACCCGTAGAGATACATTACTAGCACCCACCTGGAAAGAGAACTGCGCGTATTTACGAAACTGGTCGCCAGACCGACAACCATGCGATCGCGCACAGTTCCACGTTAGTTTTGCTGAGATTAACCTTAATAAACTTCACGCGGAGTGTGAGTGCATGTGCAGGTGCCCGCATGCACATGTTCGTGGGCTCTCTTGTGTGCATGGCCAAGAGTGTATTCAGGTGGAGTTCCAGGTTCCATTGAACCACCTAAATTTGGCACGTATACTGCTGAAAAATTTGAAAATTTCAAGGATTAATAAAAGACCAGTTTGGAAGAATGTCGGCGGGTTGTGCTACCTGTTCTTACACAGTAGGTCAGTGTACGTATACATGTGTATTGGTGTTCTTGTAGTGCCTCTGTGTGTGTATGTGTGTGTGTATGTGTGACCCAGTGGTATGTGCGGATTGCAATCGGTCATTCTCGCGCCCTGGAGATCGTGCTCGCCACAAATGTGTGGTTGAGCGGGCAAAGCCGATTGCTGAGCAGCGAGGGGCTTGCCACTGTGGAGATTGTGGACGTTGGTTTCGCAGCAAGGGTGGTCTAGCTGTTCACCGCTGTTCCGCACCTCAGCCTCAGCCTCCCGAGCCCCGGCAAGTCTATGTGCAGGATGCCTGCTGTGCTGCGCACTGTGCTGTGTGTGCCCGCTGCTTTCGGTCTGTGCAAGGCCGCGGTCGTCACCGGTGCTCGAGGACTGGCCAGCGCCCGACTGCCCAGCAGCGTAATTCGTTCAGCCATGTATGCGTGTGTTCTCGCCGGTTCCGTTTGCCCCACCATCTCCGGCGTCATCAGGCTGCGTGCTCCATCTTCCTCTCTGATGCCCCTCCGGGGCCCACGTGACCCCTGTGGCAGTGGCTCTACAGGACAGGATGTATGTGTGCGTGCATGTGTGTGTGTGTGTGTTTGTGTGTGTGTTTGTGTGTGTGTGCACGAGTTGGTATAAAGAGAAAATCTGTGGGTGCACATCCTGTGCATTTGCAGATGAGCGTGTGTCTCTTGCGACGGGCATATACATGGTACATGATGTGGTGTGTGTGTGTGTGTGCGTGCGTGCGAGTGTGTGGGTGTGTGTGTGTGTGTGTGTGTGTGTGTGTGTTTGTGTGTGTGCATGAGTACATCTAAATTATGGTTACATTACTCGCACAGCAATGACACAACCAAGTCCTTTCTCTGCTACTGGTCAGAGTTTCTCGTTAAAAAATCACTGATCAGTACATTATATGTGTGTGTGTGTGTGTGTGTGTGTGTGTGTGTGTGTGTGTGTGTGTGTGTGTGTGTGTGCGTGTGTGTGTGTGTGTGCGTGTGTATGTGTGTGTGTATGTGTGTGTGTGTGTGTGTGTTGTGTTGTTGTGGTATTGGCTTCTGTGCGTCAGTGTCTGGCACGTTGGACCATCACCCAGCCCGGACTGACAATCTACAACCAGCTGATGGGCGGAATCAGGTTCCTGGACCTGCGCATTGGCACAGGTAATCATATGTGTTTCCATGACAACACACCTAGCAACGCACCAAGCATTGCATTACTGTAAGTCGACAATTTTTCGGCCCATTCAAATTCCGGCCTCCCAAGGCTAAAACACATTTCGGCTGCAACACATTTTCGGCCTCTACTGCTGCTGCCTGTATACACTGTCACACTGAACTTTGCAAAACAAATTTTCGGCCACATATGACCAGGGCGAAAGTAGCCGAAAATAAATATGCGCCGAATATCAGTTGACATACAGTATAATCAATCACACAATCATACGGTAGAACATACGGTAGAACATTCCCACATTGAAACAAGTACAGGTTGTGCAAGAGCTGAACGCGCGTTCGTTACCTGGGTTCGAGAATAGGTACGAACCACCGTATACAGTTGTGCTTGTGCGAGTGCACGACGTTTCATTTAAAAGTGGCTTCCCCGGGTGGAGTTTCGTCTCACAGTTGACACGCACTGGTGGACAATGAGTCACAAGAGTGCCTAACTCTGGGGCAGGACTCGGGTAACTCGTTCTTGGTTTTCGGAGTTCGTTAACTGTTCCGTTACCGTAAAGTCGCGGATAAAAGCCGGGCTATAAGCACATAAGCCGCTTTCTGCATCAGGCTTTAATGCAAACCAGGCTTGTATGCAAACCATGCTTATATCCACCACTGATATGGTAGATCTTCGCGACACGTGTAGATCTATCACTGACTACCGGTATGGCGGCAGTTTTACTATGCACCATGGTACATAGCGCATGCACTCTTGACCTACCCGATCCGTGCTTGCATAGAAGCCAGGCTTCTACGCGCGACAGGCTTATATGCATTTGACCCGTTTGATTTTCAGGCTGCTATCCGCGATGTGCTTGTATGCAAACCCGGCTTTTATCCGCGACTTTACGGTATGACAAAGTCAACTGCCGACTTGCGCTCGTAATTCCATGCATTTGGTGGTCCTTGGAGGGCTAGACTCTTGTTCTGAGTTCTGTGCAGCCACTGCCCTACGACGGTGTCTGCAAATTCAGCCCTCACCAACGCTGTACAAAGCGTCACTGGCCCGTTTCTCAACGGTCGCGCAAATCGACCAATCAGCGTACAGCTAATGTACCAAAATTCTCAAACTTACCGTAATTCCTTGGTTCATACGGTGTAGTTTCCAAAGATTTTTTATGGGCCAACGTCTTCTTTCGATAGATACCAACAGATCGTCCGCTTCGAATTTTTCGATTTGATTGCCGTTTGGCCGAAAATTACCTCCGAAACCGGCCTCCACTCGTTTCACTTCAAGGCTTTCCAGGTGGACGGCATCGCAATTCGGAAGCGGAGAAAAAATAGCCAGTGAAAAAAGAAAAACAACGACGTATTGGTTGTCGAAATCGACCAAGAAATGAATTCAATAGACCTGTTTCCGTGCTGTGCCCTCGCGGCCCGCGCGAGTGCGAAAGGGATTCTTTCTCGACAAAACAAACAACTACTAGTACGCGCAGTACACTAACATCACTGCACTGGCTGTATATACCTTAGGAATATCCTGTTCTTTTCCAAGGCATGATTGTCGCTAGTGGGAGAACTCAGCCACCTGAAGCTTTCATAAAGGAAGAAGTAGTAGGTGAATGAGTTCGCCAGAAAATGGAACGACAAGAAAATAGATACTGTTGCTTTCCGGGGCGCTCATGAGACGACGGCATAGGACTGAAACGATCGACAGTCTGCCTCGACGCAAAAGAAACTCTTCTAGGAGGAGCTCGACGTGCTGTAGAGTTTGCAGTATTCTGCTGGAAGAAGACAGGAGAACTAAACTCAGACTACAGCGTGGAGCTGAAGCACGAGCGAAGCAAAAGCTGAAGCAAAAGCTGAGCGAGTTCGAAGAAATGGGGAAACACAGGAAAATGAGTGGGCGACATGATCTTTAGCTCGCGAGCTCGAAGCTCGCGCTGAGACACGCGGTGGGCACGTGCGCCTACGGGTAGCGCGGCCAGCCACCATGTTTTCAAAATGGAGGTCGACGCTTTTGAAATCCGTGTAGACGATGGTGAGGGCTGAAATTTCCCGGTCTAAAGCTGTCTTCCTAACCGGCGTGTGTATGTTTGCGGTACGTTTGCGATCCATACGTGGTGGCCAGATGCGCTTTCAACCTTTCACAGAAAACAGCAGTCCAAGTAGTATTTTATGCCGTGCGTCGCCTTTCGGTGCTAATGTCTTGGCACGCCCGTCAAAGTGACGGGAACGTACGCCAGTACCCATCTGGTACGTGCTGGAAAACACAACTTTGTGGATTTTTCTCTGACCGTTCCATTCGCATGGCGGCCCAAAAACCACGTCATGTGACACATTGATGAAGGGATTGATTCTAGTCGGAACCAACATGGCCGACGTCATGTGACAATCATATTGAGGAAGGGATTGACTCTAGGACTGTGTCGGAACCAACATGGCCGACGTCATGTGACATATTGATGCGGGCATCTACTGTACATTGTATTCGGAATCAACATGGCCGACTTCATGTACATATTGATGTGGGGATTGACTCAAGTCATAGCTAAGATGGCCGACATCGTGTCTGGCATTGAGACCGCCATTGACTGGAACTTGCTTTTACGCTGCTACACCTTTTAAACTAGTACATTGATTGTCTGAAACCTGTATCTGTCACTGTGTTCATACTCTGCTGCAGCATCACACAACATACACGGCGAGGAGGAGCTGACCTACATTCTCACTCACACATTCATGGTCGGGTATCTGGAGGAGGCATTGGACAGCATAGTGCACTTTATTGACGAGCATCCGACGGAGATGATTGTCATTGCCTTTGTCCTTTCCAGTGGGGTAAGGGCTTTGCTTCGCTTGAGCATCGACAGTGCACGCATGAACTCACTCACATGCACACGCACACACGTGCACGCGCGCACGCACGCACACACACACACACACACACACACACACACACACACACACACACACACACACACATATATGCACACTACTACTACTACTATTGACAGCTGCCAGAAATGGCCACGCCGCTCCCCAAAGGGAGGTACTGTCAGAGAGGTTAGGGGAGAGGTAGGCAGTGCTTCAAATGGCGCTCCAGGTCCTGTCGCCTCCGAAACTGGCGTTGACTACAGACTCGGCAATGATGTTCAAATATGCACACACACACACACACACACACACACACACACACACATACACACACATATATATGCACACACACACACACACACACACACACACACACACACACACACACACACACACACACATACACACACACATATACACAAATCTCACACGCATGGCCCTCGTACTCTGGATTCCTATTTCAGTGCGGTCATGCTCATACATTTCTTGTATTTCTTGTATGGAGATTGAGTATTATGCTCAATCTCCTCAGCTTGGCTTAGTACTCGTTTTTTTTATCGTCGAAGTTGCCTACCGCCGTGCAAACCTCACTGTGTATGATGGAGGAGAGAGATTGAGAAACATCATGCCCTTGGTTTTTTTATTGTGGTGCGCACACACGGGCATTCATACACACACACACACACACACACACACGTGCTCAGGTAGAGGAAGACGCTCTCCAGAGGTTCGTGGAGTCGCACCTGGGCAGCTATGCATGCCCCGAAAGCGCCCTGTTTCCTAGGAACGGTGCGGGTGCAACAGCTAGTGCAACGCTACCAGGACCAACAGTTGTACAAAATACCAGTGTGCATTCACTAACAAGTGCAGGTATGGGTTGTTCTTTATGCCTTCTTGCATGTGTGCGACTATATGAAGAAAAGGTTAAGAAATAAATCGAATCGTTTAGAACACAAATTGGGTAATTCTGTTCCTCTCTCGTAATTCAGCACGCTGTTATAACTACCATTCCTCTCGTGTCATTCATCAGGGTTATGTAGCGTACTATGGTTGGTGGATCTGATCTATCCTCCCCCACCGTTTAGGAGCCGCATCTGACGCCTGACCATGGGGTGGTGGCGTCCCACGGAAGCGGAAAGGTGGTTCTTGACCAGGGAGTTGTACGACTCCTTGTTCTTGACCTGCCCGGTACGCGAACCCGTCGAATTTATTTTTATTTTATTTTATGTAGCGTACTACAAGAGTGCTGAACCTTGATCCGGCTCCGGTATGGACAAGCTTTAATGATTGCATTGCGCTACGGCTTAGAGCTGTGTGTGTATGTGTGGTGGTGGGGGGGGGGGGGGGGGGGGGTCTTTTAAATTTTACGTGCCATCATCAGAAACTATTCATGCTGCTGTCATGAACTATTTTTTCTAGCTTTGCTGCAAGTCGGGACAGCACATGTGAGCACAACCACCGTTCCCTGTGGACAAATGTCACTGTCACTGTCACGCATGAGTTCTTTCCACACGTAATGTAGTGTTTATGGATAAAAAGGAAGGACAACATGTTACGAGTTATGGTGGACAGTTAGTCATTACTTGGAACATTTTTTTTAATTCCTTTTTATACCCATGATTACATTGGCTCACCATCCGAGTTCAAAAGTAGTGTGTCCTTGTGTTTGTTTTACGTCTGGCCTTTCCCCACAGGGCACAATCTGCTGCTGTTAGGGAACGTTGACCAACCGGACAGATCAGCCTCTAACCCATCCAACGTGTGGCTGGACAAGTCACTCCTAGCGTCCGGCACCTTCGTCAGCTTGTGCAACGTGCATGCAAAGACGCAGTTGAACCGACAGCAGCTGAAGGACTACCTTGCGGCAATACCAGAGGTAGGAGGACCCGTGTCTGCTCCAGATCTAGAGCCGGGGCAGCTGGGTCAGCCGGGGCAGCGACCCGGCTGGTGGGTGCTTGGACGAGTTTGGAAAAAGAAAACCGGGCCACTTGTGACCCCGTTGGCAATACATTACAATGATATGCTACACATACATGTACACCAGGGAGTCCTATAATAGTTACGGCTCTCTGATGTACATGTAGTAGCCGCACTTGATGTACCCAGCTCTGACCCGCTTGCAAAGGTTGTGTCACGTACCCGTGCACCCCGTTGCTTTGAAATCCCTAGAGCAGACACTGAGGACACCATCGATTCTGAAACGGCGCAAGTCCCGCATAGATCTACCACCTGTTGTTCTTCTTTGACTACCGTAACTGCGATGTACACGTTCTTGTACTTTGATCTGTAGCTACGCATGATGTCATTAATGAGCCAAATGGCCGTGAAGATACTGATGTCAATACCAAATTCCTCTGTAGGACCAAAGGTCACCAATTTGCAGGCCGTTGGGTATGCCCTCCTGCCGATAAGATTTTAATCAGGCGCACAGACTCCACTGCAGCCAATTCATTTTAAAAGATCGCTCAAAACACACGCAGGATATGTGATGTTTTGAGTGATCCTCTAAATGTTATCCACATTAGCACATCGTGATCTTTTCACGGTGAAATGTTCCGAGAACCTTAGCGCCGGCTCTGAACTTTTCTTGCGTTTTTCTGTTTTTTCTGTTCTACTCTTCCCGCCGTTGTAACCGTGTGCAGGAGAAGAGGAGGAGGCACCTGTACCAGCTGCCTCACACGGTAACACCGCAGACAAGCAGTATTGTCTGGGACGTGTTGACTTGCCGCTCGCTGCCCGACCATGCACGCGAGATGGACGCCACCCTGCCTGGCTTCGTCCTGGACGAGCTGACGCGACACGAGCGCGATGCCGTGAACATCATCACCGTGGATGACTACTCGCACTCGGACGTCGTGCAGGTGGCCAGGCAGCTGGTGCGCGAGCGATGGAACACTGTATCCGATCACTGACCTTCCTCTGTCCAATACCTTCACCTGGTTAATATACTAGTTATTACCCTCGCTAATACCCTGGATAATACTCTCACCTGGTGTCTTGCGTGTCTTGGTGTCTTCAACTTCATTTTTTAATACTCTCACCTATTAATTTTATGCTTTCCACTTATCTGGAAGAAATGAGACAGAAAGTGTAATGACTAATGCGTTGGAATGCTTTCACATGTGTTTTTCCAGATTTCTCATTACTGTTTTCTGATGATCGCTTAGTGCGTGAAACTCGGAGTAAAAACACTTTCTCTGTCCTCCTATTGTTTTGTTTTGTTTTTTACTTAAAAAGTTAATGTCACTTACATTCACACGTCCAATCCTGGTGTTGACAGTCAAATTGTTTTCTTCAGACTTTTCCCCTTCGTGTCTTTCCCTGAAACCAGTGAACATTCACACAAGTGAAGAAATATGTAATACGGTAGTAGATTGGCTTCAGGTTATGTGTGAAAGAATTTTTTCCGTAACAAAAGTGCCAGTGCTTCGCTACAAAACACTGACGTCAGATTTTCCTTTTCAAAACAAATGGCTACGGTTGAGTCTATGCATTGTAATGTAGCTACTAGGTACGCGTGCATATACATACAAGGCTTTCAGCATGGATTTCCTTGGTTTTTCCTAATCTTCTGTTTGCCTCAAAGGACCGGTATTTTCGCAGGACGAATTTTAAAACGAATGTGAACGAGTGATACAAGCAGGGAGTAGTACAATACATGGATGGTATTGTACTACAATACATGGTATTGTACTACTCCCTGGATACAAGCACTTTGTAAACCGGAATACTAATGTTGTGACATTGGTACACGGAGGGAGACAGGGTCTTGTGCAATTGTCACGTGATAGTGACGGTATGCACTGCTGTTCTTGCTTCGAGGGCAGGGTGCTGATGATAGCAACTGTCTCTAGTTACCACTTCAGTTAGCAAAACAAGAACCATTCTCGGTTGACTTTATTAATATTTTGGCGAATCCTTTCAAGGATTCCCCAAAGGCTGTTCGCCTGTCGAGAGGGTTTCCTGTTTTCACTTGATTGATGAGATACGTGGGATGGGAAACTGGTAAGAGAGAGAGGAAGAAAAAAGAAGAGTAAGAAAGGAAAAAGAAGGGCCACAGCATTCATTGCATTACCTGCCCATGTACTGTAGTCAACGCCTTAGTGTCGTTTATTGCCATCGCTCATTTAGTACGGCACACAGCCACACCTCAATTAGTTTTGCTAAATTCCAAACAATACATGTACATACATGTAGTGTAGCTGGGGTAGCCAATGACCACTTTGCGTCGCGATTGCAAGGTTTGTATAGCCACCTAGTGCTAGCAAGAATAAGAAGTCGAAAGGAAAAGGAAAACTTTCACATGCACTATTGGTGATAGTGACATGACATGTCACTGTCACACCAAGAGTAGATAAACAAGAGTGTACAACTCGCGGATGGGTAGGCCCACGGCGGAATTTTTTGTTGACGTAATCTTTTCGACGACGCACGCGCTGCGAGTCTTTCGGAAAGTTTTCCCTCGTGCTCTTGGCCGGGCTTTACACTACAAGGTCGGTGCCCAGCACGTGCTCTCACACTGCTCTGCGGCAAACTGGGCGTTTCTCTGAAAAAAGGTGACGTCAACAAAAAATTCCGCCGTGGGCGGGGGTATCTGCAGATTGTGCAGGAGAGAACCGGAGTTGCACACTCTTGTTTATCTACTCTTGCTATCACCAATAGGGCATTGTTCCCGTAGCTATGCAGAAGACGTTACTTCAGTAACGTCTGGCGCTAGCCAGGGTCCACACAGCTTTAATTTGGTGTTTGTTTGTTTGTTTGTTTGTTTGTTTGTGTCACGGCTGGAGCTATCCCGTATCTGTCCCGTATCGTCCCGTATCTGTGACTACAAAGGCTCTACAGGATTGTACATAACAGCTGTCCACAATATTTGCGGGCTCCTGTATCTGTCCCGTACCGTACCAATATTCGTCGTATTATGTATACGACTCCCTGATGTAGATGGAGATTTGGAAAGAAATAGGGAGACGAGGAGGAAATTAAATTTGAATAGACGCCGAATAGGTGATAGGATGCGTCCGCATTAACATGCATGTACTTTGGAAGAGAGATCCCGTCGTCTCCAAAATAAGCGTGAACGAGCGATTCAGCGCCGGTCACAGGAAACGTCGGAAGAGAGATCCCGTCGACTCCAGAACCCCGTGATCGGCAGAGTCCGCCGGTCCCAGGCAACGTCAGGACAGACATCCCGTTTAGTCCAGAACGCCCGTGATCGGCAGAGTCTAAGCCGGTCCCAGGAAACGTCAGGACAGACATCCCGTCGAGTCCAGAACGCCCGTGATCGGCAGAGTCAGCGCCGGTCCCAGTGAACGTCAGGACAGACATCCCGTCGACGCGCAGAAAAACTAAATCTACAGCCTCTTTTGCCGTCGGACAGGATACGTATTATAGGAGACTGTAAAGTTATGTAATGTCCAAATTTCCACGTGAGCAGCAGGTCACTCGCGTTGATTTTTCGACGTGCGAGCCAAATAACGCGAGCTGAACTTTCGCGTCGCAAGACATCCGGTCGACGCGCAGAAAAACTAAATCTGCAGACTCTTTTGCCGTCGGACAGGATACGTATTTTAGGAGACTGCTAAGTTATGTAATGTGCTCCACAGGCAACCATGCATTCGGCGTCGTCATTGGCTCCACAGGTCAATGTACATGTATAACTACAAAAAGGCCAGAAAATCACTGTATTAAAATCAACTAATTTTCGCTGGCGATTTAATTTCGCTGATTTCGCCGCTTGGTACCAACCGGCCAAAGTAAATCGCAGGCCAAAGTATGTCATATAGGCAAATGATGCATGATTGAGCAATGGATGCATGTGAGAGCAAAAATACCGATCGATTTCAAATTTGACGTGAAATTGCGCGTCACGTCGGAAATAACGTGCATCTTAACCTCTCTAATAGAGAAGTTTCTGTTTCTCATCGGCCAACATTTGTTGATTTACAGTATAAGGAGATAAAAAGAAAAGGAGCAAACCAAAAGTAGACGAATATTAGAGAAAAAACAATCCACAATAAATTCTGCAAACACTTTTGCCTCAGTTCTTATAACATGTACGATGAGCTAGGCAAAAAAGCAAAAAAGCATAGCGTAGGGCCCTGAGCTTCCAAGCTCTCTCGTATTATTTTATTGATTTATTCACCTTTTTCAAATTAAATGGACTTCACGGAGAATTTCAGTTTTAGGAAATTAGAGGCTACATGCCACGTACTGCTCTTTTCTCTCCGAAACTCAACACTTGGAAGCCAGATATGAAAGAAAGAAAGAAAGAAACATCAGTCACACCACCAGTTAAAGTATTGCATTTATTTCCATCGTGTTTATTATTCCCGTAATAGAGACTGTTGTTGGTGATGGTTGTCATTATACTAGAAATTCTATGCATTGCTTGTACTGGTGCGGTGTTAATTTCTCCTTGACCCAACCTAATGGAGCTGACCTACTGTTTGTTTGTTTGTATTTATTTTGATTCGCAAGTTCAAACGGGCATAGAACCCAATAGCATGAAAGCGAATATGAAAATCATAATGAGAATGAGAATTCAAATACTTTGATCTTCAACGTAGAGTCAGCGGTACATCAGAGGGAGATCGGGTACAACAGAAAGAGAACAGAAAAAATCAGATTTACTAAATGATAAATACTATGATTCACACTTGCCCGCTGATTGGCACACTGCCTGCTGGTATTCTGAACAATATTCATTAAAAAATATTCATTATGTGAAATGTGATCAGCATGTACCATCATTATCTAGATACGGTAAAACAGAGAGGTTCCAGGCTGTCCAAGAGAGTGCTCAATACCGGGTGGTAGAGCTGGGTCAAACAATAGGAGGACAGAGAAAGTGGTTTTACTCCGAGTTTCACGCGCTAAGCGATCATCAGAAACCTGTTTTCTGATGACCGCTTAGTGCGTGAAACTCGGTGTAAAAACACTTTCTCTGTCCTCCTATTGTCTAGATACTGTATAGTTATAGTGATCAATGCTGTCTGAACATCGCCTAGTGCGTGACGCGTCTTTACAGCGAAACCGCATAACATTACTCTTACAAGACTAGTATCATCTTCTGTATTCGTGTACGCCGCTCTGTACCCTGGTGCATTTAGCACTCTTCGTGGCTGGCCCCGTTAACCCTTAGCGGCTACTGTTCAAATATGGGCAGGTTCTGTTCGAAAACCAGTGACATTGGCATCAGAACTATACAAACCTTATGGCATGCAACTCCTTGAGTGTTGCTCCATTTCTTTATCCACATGCCAAACATGCATGGAACATACCAGAAAAGGTCGCTAAATTCTGCAAACTTTTCCGCCGGCTTCATCCGCCAAGGGCTAGCATTGATTGCTCCTCCGTTCAGCGAGTGGCGCCATGCTCCTATCCAGAAACCTCTTGCTGTTGTGTGGCGTCCCGGCCGAACCCCAGGACCAGGCACCATCGTGACGTAACACGCAGTAGTTCAAAATTACTTCTTGTCTGAGGCTCTTACACAAAATAATAGGAATGGAACAAAATCAAAAAAATTGCCAAACTTTGTTGCTTCTGTGGAGTTTCATAGCTCATTTTAGGCCCATAAGTTGGGGTTCTTACATTTTTGAGTTTTGTATTTTTGTATTTATTAAATATTTCCTGGCTCGTCAAACAACTGCCAATGACAAAATTGAATGTGAAATGAAGGGTGATAGCCAACCACGGCAAATATCTGAAACAGTAAAAAAATATGGGGTGGACCCTGCGCGAGACGTATTCTATGGACAAGGCTGCAAAGGTATTGCTGGTGTCGGTCAACAATTTGACAACAAGGGGGGATGAAGAAGCAAGAGGATAGAGAGATTCGGATGAGAATGTAGGGTCTTTGCGGAAACTTATTTTTAAGAGTAAGCGCTGATGTTCTTCTAGCTTTTGAAGTTGCGTTTTGACAGGCCACACCAAGCAGTATCACAATATTATTGTCAAAATATGGGTAAGATATAGGCCTTACACAAAATAATTGTCTGCAACGATCAGGTAGATTTTGACAGTGAGGTTGTCGAGTAGCTACTGCAGAGCTGGCTCGCTTGCACACATACAGTCAACTTTGCGAATAACGACATTCGGCGGGGCATCAGAAAAGTGTCCTTATTCGCGAAGTGTCGTTATATCCGAAGTCCCATTTGAATGTATGTGAACCCATATTTTGTATAGTATGACATGCATATCGAAATGAAGCTCTTTTCATGCTCTACGTCAATTTGTACTTTACTTTCGTATTGCAATTGAAAGGAACAATAAAGTCAATATCCAAGGGAAATATATTGAAAAATTAACCTTTTGGAGCCATCTGCAGGGACATGTTCATGTACATGTATGAAGATTAATGTGCAATCATGTACAACATAGGTGTGCTGATCATTCCAACTATTTTGAAGAAAAGAAAAAAGAAAAAGCACCCCCCCCCCCCCTGGCTGTATCTTCTTGTACATGTATGTGTGCCTTATCCATCGCCACGGGTTCTGGTACTTCTGCATGACACTTGACAGGTACTTGAAATAGCTGTCAAAAAGCCAGAAAGTCGTTATTCAAGCAGTGAATATGACCTCGGGGCACTAAAATCATGTCGCTATTCGCGAATTGTCGTTATTCAGATAGTCGTTATATCCGAAGTTAAATGTATACAGTCAGATGGGACTTTGCTCTGGGCATGGAAATGCTGTCGTTATTCGCGAATTGTCGTTATATCCGAAGTCGTTATTAGCGAAGTTGACTGTAACTGACGTGTTGGCTCCAGGAGAGCATAAGGGTTGAACACCCGTACAGCGATAAAAGTGCGTTCGAACCGACCCCCCCCCCCCCAAACTCCACTGGCCACCACATCCAAACGAGCTTGACCCTCAGTTGATGCGGACCGGAGCTAGCTGGAACTGCTCCCCAGTCAGGGGTTGGAGATGTGGCTCCACTAGCACTGCGACGTTAGGGGCGACTCCCTTCAGTGGGCGACTCCCTTCAGTGAGCTTGCCAGCATGTCGCGCCCCTCGTTATAGCGGATCGATGGGAACCCACCGAAGGGACAGGACGTGCAGTGTACGGTGGCGGGGTGTGCAGCGCTTGTGCACGTGCAGGTGGTGCATGGTGGTGGTGGTGGTGGGGGAGGGGGGGGGGGGTCTGGCCGCATAACTGTTTAGTATCCAGTACGAGTACCGCCCGCACCTTCCTCAGGACATGATGCGCAGATGTGAAGATGGAAGTAACAGTATTCTTGCACGAAATCGGCCAAGGAAAGAATGACTCATTCTTATGAGTCACCAGGCCGCATCAACGGAATTGTTGGAAGGTACCGGAGGATATAAACGTCCATAGCCTAGTAAATTATGTTCCCAGTCATTCACCCTGAGTCTGACATTGAACGTCACAGGAGAAGATCAGGTCTTCGCTCAGAAGGGTGTGAATACTGAATGTAGTTAATGTACCGTGGCTCTGAGAAACGCTTCTAACCTCACGTGTTAATGGGTATCAGCTGCAAACCACACAATTGTATGTTATCAAAATTTCCAGGATTCTACGCGCACAGTTTGTTGCCACCTTCTTGCGAGTGATGGCCGCCGGAGAAGTGCCGAACTTCAGCAGCTGGATGGGTGAGGAGGAAGACGCGTGCAAGGCACTGACCCCGTTCCAGGTGGTATTCCCTGGCACGCATGACTCGGGCAGCTCAATGCTAACTGGATCGGCGGTGATAGGCTTGAGTTCGGGACTCAATGCCCTCTGCAGAGTTCCCTGCTTTCGTCGGGTAAGGTTTCACCTGGCTCAGTAACTGTACTTTTCAAACAAGCATTCTGTGAGCATGACATTGTAGTCTGCATGTACGGGGGTATTGCACTCTGTGAGCATGACATTGTAGTCTGCATGTACGGGGGGGGGGTATTGCCTTGGGCAGGTTTAAAAAATGCTTTGTTGTTCATTAGACTTCATAGCGATCGGTTGCCCAGTATCTCTGAGCTCCGCTGACACGATCTAACAAGATCGAAACAGCTAGCTGTCCGGAGATTGAAAACAATCTGTGTTACCCAAACTATGGCAACAATATTAAGAAAATGTGTTAAAAAAAGCTCGTTTAGCTAAATAATACTGAACCTCTGCTAAATGTTTCATTTCGAAGAAAATGTGCTGGTTTCTCTGGAGTCTCCATGCGCTAGCTATGACGTGGTAATTCCTGCTGTATGCAGCCTCCCGGTTTTCGTACCCTATCAGGTGGTCATATTCAGCACACACATACCACACACATGCACACACACACGCGCGCGCGCGCGCACACGCACGCACGCACACACACACACACACACACACACACACACACTGGGATTCCATACACTGTGGTCTTCATTGAAACAATGTATACTGAAGTACATAGTTTAGTACATTCTGGGTACCCCCGTGCCTTGAGGTAGACATGTACAGAATGCAGCCTGGATTGCCCTACATCGTCATGACATTGTAACGGTACACATGCAGCCATCTACAAGTTGACATTGTGCATATCAATACTAAGTCTTATGTTGACTGGGTTTCCCTACAGCGTGATGTACACGGCCACCTACAGTGCTCGCAACTGAAATCCGACCCCTAAGCGGTACGCGCACATCGCACAGAGCCACAGACCCAACACGGGATAGTTAAACTACGAAATAGAGACAGCTGGGATGTGAACTCGTCCCTTAGGGATCGGATTTCAGTTGCCAGCACTGTACATTATACTATAGCGACCGACCCGGGTTTCCCTACATCGTCATGTACATGTATATAGTCATCTACATTATACACATTACATTATGTTATACAAATTGGACTCCCTACAAGGCTACATTCATCATGATATTGTCATCTGTATGTATGCAGAGAGGGTGTCCCTGACTCAACACGACTGATCACTCAGCACGGGGCTGTGTGTTGTTCCCTACACCGTTCACTTCATCGTAATGTTGCCATCTACAGTATAAGTTACAACTGTAGCAGATTGGCCTAGCTTTCCATTTTGCAATCCATGACATAATCGCTAAACTTGGGTCTGTCTTCATCGTAACACTTTACATGTAGTCTTCTTTGGCCATATGTGGGCGCGGGTAATGTGTTGGAGGGATTTGCCCAATGCTTGCATTGTAGTATCCTGTACCTGCTCAGCACACACATGCAGTTGCCGCTCCTTTGGACAGAGACTTTGATCTAATTCGACCTGATTCCACTGTAGGTGGAATCATTGAATGTTCCCCCCCCCCCCCTCTCCCCCTCCCCTCCCCCTAGACCAGTTTCATTTCGTTTCATTTCGGTCAGTACGGCTACTGTATACCGCCGTCTTCGTCTTTGTCTTCGTCTTGGGAGAGAGACAAGGGGAAGCTTCCGCACAGGGTGTGAGCCCCGCGGCCTCTCGCCATCGGGAGTACAGCTCGCCAGTTGCACATTGATAGATATGCCTGCAAATGCAGCTGATGTACACGTATTGAGGTAGAGTGCTGACTGAAAGGTTTATCCATTATCAACGTGATAGGTCCATGACCTAGTAGCCACACCAGCAAACAGGTAACCGAGTCGTAACTAACGTGTTACTTGACTTGGCCTTCATACCAGTCGATCTCACGGGAACAGAAGTCAGCGAATGGATATGCCGTTGAGCCCAAGCAATTCCTGTACTTGGCTGTGTTTAGTTGATAGGGCGATGGACGATCACGCAACCAGGCCTGTCCATCCATGACCAGCTGGTCGGAGGCATTCGATTTCTGGACTTTCGCATAGCCTCGGGTGAGTGGAAATGCTTGACATTATATTGGGCATGTGTAGATTCGAGGACACGGAATGAACTCTTGGCACTCTAGCGTGTCGGAATGACATTTCCCCATGTGTGATAAAATGAATGGCTAATCTGCACTTAACCCAAAAGGCTTGCCCACCTAGTCAGGAGGTTTCACCCTAACATGTACTTGACACCCACGGTTTAATCGACTGACTCACGAATGCCACCCAGAGCACGTGAGAAGTCCATCGAACCTTCGACTCAGCAAACCGGCGAGACAGCACCACTCCTTGCCCAATACACAGTGTTTCGAGGAATTCACGGCCCTCATCAGTTGAACTGGAGCAGGCCGAGGGAGATTGTGCCTGAAGCGCACAACTTATCGAGTGCTCTCCAACCCAAACTATCGCCACGGATACATACTGACAGAGACGACATCAGTAAGCTACAATGACTCACAATGCCACATGCTGTTTCGAGGTGTTTATTGTCCTGGAAACATAGCGTCTCTGTAAGTTTGTATCACTGGTGATGATTGGTCCAGGAGAGAACTGCAGCACATAAGTGGTGCTCTTCAAGCACCATCGTCCTCAGCCTATCCAAGCTCAACTGACGAGCGAGGAATTCTCCGAAATACTGTGTATTCAGTAGTGAGTGATGCTTTCGCGCAGGTTTTCCGAGTCGAAGGGTGCTTCTTCTCGTGTGCTCTGGATGGCAGTCGTTAGTCGATCAGTTGTCAATCCAAAGTCAGCAGGAAGAGCGAGAGCTCCAGGGTGGGGAGCAACCAACTTTCCTGTATCATTATTATTTTGTTTTACATCGGAAGCTCAACAGTGCAGCTGCACAAAATATGAAGAGGCCGATGGGACCAAAAGATATACAATGTATATACATCAGTGTAAATGTTTAGAAAAAATGGGGGGATGAGTGGTGAACATAAAGAGAAAAGAAGAAAAACGTATGCTGAACCTGGGCAATATAATATAGCTGTGAAAAATTATATCATATATGTAGCCGAAGTCGCTACTATGATTTTCGTCCCTTTTTCTTTTCGTGCTCAGCTTCCCGAAACAAGCGTGGAGAGGAAGAGTTGACATTCATTCTCATCCACACATTCATGGTTGGGTATCTCGAGGACGCTCTCAGGGAAATAGTGCGCTTCATCGACTCCCATCCCACGGAATTGGTGCTGGTCTCCTGCATTCCCTACAACAATGTGAGTCACCATACCATGATGCCCTTTGGAATTCATTTTTAGGACAGAGTGTTGATAAATATGGTGGTAAAGACACACCTGGCAATATGGCGGCAAACACACGCCTGCCCACGCACGCTCTCTAGGCTGCGAAGTTCTGGCACAGAGCTCTCCCTCTCACCACCACCACCATCAGTTCGCTCAACCATAAGTACAGCTGCACTGGTGTCTTCAAATTCATTCTCCCAGGACAGAGTGTTACTGCAACAATCTCTCCTCCTCTAGTGCTGCTACCTGCCTCATTCAGAATTCATTTCACGAACGGAAGGCAGATCGCGTGATCATCACGTGGTGAAGTACACAAATCGAGCTCAAGTCAAATGTTTCGGGTTACAACCCGTTTCCCATACGGGACATGAAGACCAGTAAGTATGGATCAAGGACGATTCCCAGTACAACTTTCTGTGACGCGATTTGCGACAGTTGCGACAAGAAACTGCCTGCCGCGAGCTTTCGCAGGCAGTCAGGCAGTCGCAAGGCACCTGTCCCAGAAGTTGAACAAAGTTCAACTTTTGCAACATGCGACACGCGACATACACAAATGGAGTACATGTTGCCGTACTAGTGCATAAGGATGTCGCAAACATGAAAAACAATTGTGAACCGTGTGTCGCTGTCGCAGCTCGTCGCAAGTCGCATGTCGCGTGGCAAGAAGTTGTATTGTGAATCGGCCTTAAGGCATTAAAATAAAGGATCGGTGAACTTCAGTTGTGGCGAGGCTAAAATGGATCATCATCGTTTTTTTGCTGTCTCTTATCATGTCAGTATGTTAATAAATTCATGCGGGATGCTGTGCCCCTCTTGTCTAGATTGACGAGCGCGCATATCAGAGCTATGTGGAGCAGTTTCTGAGCAAGCACGCCTGTCCTGCCAGTAAGCTGTCGCCCACGACAACGGATGCTGGCACCACCGGTTCCCATGGTGATAGTGTGGGTGGTGATCGGGGAACACCATCGTCAGCGACAACGGTGCCCAGTATCTACTCGCTCACGTCGGCGGGTGAGCAGCATAGTGTGCTTTGTATGCAAAGATTTACTTCAAGTAAAAACAAACAAAAACACAATCAGCAGTTTTAGTCGCCCTCGCTTCGGTCTTTGTTGTTGTGCGCAAGGTGGAAGTATGTGACGTGGTGTGTGTTGTTTGATGCATGCGTTCAGGTGCTGAACAGTCCTACCAAAGACCGAAGCGAGGGCAACCTAGAAAACAACCATTAATGATTAACCACACAACCGGTACCTACAATCAGCAGTACTACTTACAATTTACTAGACAGGATTTGTGGCTATTTAGCAAGAACATTCACTGCCGATGCAAAGAATTACCGAGCAAGGCGCGCTCAGTAACCTAAGATACCTCCGTGGGCAAAAATGTAAGGAAAAATTGGAGGTGTATCCAATTTCGAAAGAAAAGGTGTCAGCACCGACGCAATCCACACAGTCAAGTAAGCCAAATGTTTAGTAACCGAACGTTTTCGTTCCTTCTCATCATAGGTAAGTACAGGGAATAAAGAAAAAAATGTATTAGCAAGAACATGCACAGCCGATGCAAAAGATTACCGAGCAAGGCACGCCCAGTAACCTATGTAACCTACAATTTACTATAGACAGGATTTGGTTACTAAATTGGCTTACTTGACTGTGCGGATTGCGTCGGTGCTGACACCCTTTCTTTCCATAGCAGTACTACTGTTGTGGATATAAAAAATTAAAAATCCGGTGCAATGACGGTCAGGGCCCTCACATGATTAGTACGTACTACGTACACACCCTGAAACACTGCAAAACAAAATGCGCCAGCAGTGCTCGCAGCTGCCAGGCTAGTGCCCCATGGCCGCTTGACTTCTCGACGATATTTAAATGTCGGCAACAGTAGCACGCACACTGATACTTCACTTGCAACTGACACATTGTGTCTACAGTTGTACCCTCGTCAGTACGACATACTCTGAAGTAGATTACAAGACAAAGCTCATTAGTAGACAACCATCCAAAATCCCATGATGCCTGATGCCTTCAACAGCCATTCGTGCGAGGCCAGATAGTAGAAAATACTGGCTGATAATAAATGTAGTCGATGTAAGACACATTTTTTTGGCTAACGAGGGTGGACCTGTACATGTCTATGATGCACACTGAAGAGTGTGGCTGACCCTATGCTACATGTCTGTTATCTGATTGTTGATGTTACAGGACACAACCTGATTTTGATTGGCAATCCTGAGGCAAGCAGCACACCGGGTGATAGCACTGTATGGCTTTCAAAAACTAAACTAGTGACCGGCGGCCCGTTCCGCAGTCTGAGCAGTGTTGAGGAGAAACAAGACCTGAACCACCAGCAATTGGCAAACTATTCTTCGAACACGGCGACGGTGAGAGACGCGAGAATGTGGCATTGGCGGGTATTTTATCTGTGAACTAGTAAGATGATTGCATAGTAACATAACCGGAGCTACGGCGGCGGGGAACGGCCCGCTTGATAGGAGTGCAGCGAACTGTACCATATGGTACGGTTCGAGATGGGGCTGGTACACAAAGGGTTAAAAGCACAGTGTGTACTACATGTACTTAGCACTAGGGCTGAAACGAATGTTCAATGAAGCGAATGAATATTCTTTTTCCGAATACTTGCGAAATGAAGAATATTCCGAATATTCCAAACAATACAATTTCCATGGATACATAGTTTTATCCATGGTAACCATAGACCATTAACTGGCATACACCCCAATTACATGAGAGACCCTGATTTGAATAATCATTTGTCTTGCTGATTATAACACATCGAAAGATGCGAGCCTACTTATATTTTGCACCAAATAAGCTTGATCGATGTCAAAATGGCGATTTTCTGTACATTTACGAATATTCCTATTCTACATTAACGAAGAATATTCTTTTTCCGCCTTGCATATTTCGAATTTAATAATAATAATAATAATAATAATAATATTCCTTTCAGCCCTACTTTGCACACATCCTGTAACTATGGCAACCTGTTTCCTGTGTGCCTATGTGCTTATGACTGTGCGTGTAGGAGAAGCAGGCAGTCGAGCTCTATCAGCTGACACACACTGTCACTCCGGACGCAAAGAGCATCGTCAAAGATATCCTAACCTGCAAAACTCTGATCAGCCACGCTGATGCTATGAACGCCACGCTACCAGACTTCGTATCCAGCCGGTTGAGCAGCCAGCACCGAGGCAACATCAAGATTATAACTGTGGACAACTTCATCACCTCTGATGTCGTGGCCATAGCCAAGAAGATGCTCAGGGATCGACTGCAGAGCATCTAATTCTGATACTCACACTACACAGTGTTAGCGCCGCTGTAGGGTAGTGAAGTTCTAGCACAGAGAACAGAGAGCTCTGGCATAGCCGTTGTCACAGAAATCAAGCTGGCGTCTTGGTTCTGTGTGCCTGACATGCTGTGGTACTAGCCACACGTATACATGCCTGTATACCACAACGGCCATGTTTTCCACCACCGGTGGTTTCGGCAAAAACACGGAGTCGCTCTGCAAGCGGATAGCTTCTCTTCAAGCAGCCAAGACCGGAGAGGCATACAGCTGTGCCATGTCTTGGGTTCGCTGCAAATTGAGTTTTGCCCTACTCCAGTCCAGCTTGATGTGTTTGCGTGGATCCCGGAATCTTCGGCCGGCGCAGTTGGACTCACATCCCACCTTGGCGGTTGCTGGGGCGGGCATTCGTATTTGGTACCATTTGCCCCTGGTTTTGTCCGTATTGGTTTCATTTTTGCTCTTTTCATCCTAATACATGTTCTAGTAGTAGTCGTTTTCAGTCCAGTATTGGACGGCCGCACTCCAGCTCTTCTTTGCACTTCTCTTTACTTCTTTTTCCTTTGACTTGATCATTGATTGTGATGGTATTTTGTGAGGGAAAAAAGGTGTACTACAACCCATATCAAGAGTATATAATTATTATAACCCCCCAAGAGTGTGCAACTCATGATACCCTTTCTATGGGGTTCGCCGACGTCGTTATATCCGCAGTTGTGGTGTAGTGTCACAGTTGTACGTTTCCAGCCCGTTTTAGCGAGCAGCGGAGTAATCAAAAAAGCACTCTTTGACATAAATCACTGCGCGTGTGCAAATCCCCAGCATGATCCTGGCAGATATTCGGGTTGCGCTCACGCTATCCTTCGTTTGTACGTAGTACGAAACACATAATGTGTGTTTTCGCCGTCGGACACCCCACATGCAGAGTTGCACACTCTTGGGGGGTTATATACTCTTGCCTACATTACTAGTCTTAGTAATGAGAACAGTGAACACTGTCATGGCAACTTCCTGTACCAGAGGCAGAGAACCACTACAGCCAGAACCGATACAAGGGATATCATTTCCAGTCAAATGCTGAAAACTCATTGTTTTTAATTCAGTGCCCAACCTGGTTTCCATACAGGTCATGGATTGCTGATGCTACTTACATAATGGAATTGTTATGCTTAATCTGAATTGTCTGGGATAACGTGTACAGTCAACTTCGCTTATAACGACACTCAGCGGGGCATCAGAAAAGTGTCCTTATTCGCGAAGCGCCGTTATACCCGAAGTCTCGTTATTATGTATCACAGTTGGATGGGACTTTGCTCTGGGCATGGAAATTCTGTCGTTATTCGTGAATTGTCGTTATATCCGCAGTCGTTATTAGCGAAGTTGACTGTACTGCGTTCTTTGCATCTGCACGGTGGTATGGACTCTTGGTGTTACTGTCAACCAGCAAAGTATCACGTATGTGGCGGATACCAGTTCTACATGTATAATTACAAGTATTATTATCGGTTACTTCAGCCTGAGTCTGTGGCGACTTATGTTTTTTGCTGCTGAATTATTTGTTTGCCAGGTAGGAGAGACTCAGCAAGCACATGTACACCGTCCAGCAAAGCACACAGGGGCCATGCGTTGGAAAGTCCTAACGCCCAGCAAAGCACACAGGAGAGAAGTATAGGGGAGTTCCAGGAAAGCATGACCAGGAAACCACTGAACGCTGAGTACTTGGGACAGTCCCTGTAAACCACACAGATGCCGTGCATGCCAGAGACACAGCAAGGACACGGTGCAGGGGAGAGACCGAGCCAAGCACACACACGGACGCGGTGCATGGCAGAGACAAAGCGAGTGTGCTGTGCTTGCTAGAGACCCAGCCCAGCACAGTCACACTGTGCATTGGGAGAGTCCCAGTAGAGCACGCAGACCCCATGGATAGGAGAGTCCCAGTAGAGCACACAGACCCCATGGATGGGAGAGTCCCAGTAAAACAGCATACAAAGCACCGATCACGGTCCACAATACGTTGTAGTCAGAGAGAAAGCAAAGAGGAGAAAACATTGAACATTGCAGGCTTCAAAACAACATTGCACGCTTCAAAACAATAATTATGGACATCAAGAACTTGACAGAAATACATAGGCACTCAACGATATATCCATAACAGGACTTGAAAAAAGGCAAAAGAGAGGAATGAAAAGAGTGAGAGAGAGAGAGAGAAAGAGAGAGAGAGAGAGAGAGAGAGAGAGAGAGAAAGAGAGAGAGAAAGAGAGAGAGAGAGAGAGCGCATATACAGGAGAGAAACGAGGGACTAGTCGGCACGGACGGTCTTGCGAGCGCCACGCTGGGACACCTGGACGTAGACAGCGACAGCCATGATGGTGGCCACGCCAGCAATTGTATACCGCATGTAGGCAATGGGCAGAGCAGAAACGAGGAAGTTTGAATACGTCGCCAAGACAATGGTTGTCATGGCGAGCGGGTACACGGCACAGCCAGCTGCAAAGGCGTGGATGGACTTCATGGCGGCGGGTTTAATGAACGCCTTGACAAGCTGAGCGTTGTTGGCTAGGACACCGCCTGCAGGCAATAGCAGAAGAGAATGAAATCCATGCAGAAATACAGATTTATACACTTGAGGATACCCACACCTCCTCTCACTGTGTTTGTTGCTGTCTCTGTCTCTCCCATGCACAACTAACATAAATTGAACTTGGATGTTGAGCTTTATCCACACCTATCATAGGCAGCCTTTTGGGAGTTTCCAGCGTGACAATTACCAATGCTACGCCTTTCGGCTGAATAGGTACATCCTTCTTCGAGCACAACCTCTGGTGTGAGAAGCTGCAAACACTGGTCATAGACTGAATGAATATGTGTCTATGTTGTGTGTGTGGGGGGGGGGGGGGGGGGGGGGAGGAGGAGCATGCTAAAAAAAACTGCCTATAAAGATCGATGCCTCTTTTAGAAAGAAAGCCGCAAGCTAAATTGAGCACAGGTACGCCATGCGGCTAATTTACATTGGTTTCTTGCTTTGTTTTCTAAGTGCTAATGTGTCTCCAGCGAGAAGGAGAGAGAGAGAGAGAGAGAGAGAGAGAGAGAGAGAGAGAGAGAGAGAGAAAGAGAGAGAGAGACAGAGAGAAAGAGAGAGAGAGAGAGAGAGAGAGAGAGAGAGAGAGAGAGAGAGAGAGAGAGAGAGAGAGAGACAGGCAGACAGAGAGAGCGAGAGAAATACAGAGAACGACAACAGGCCACAGGGTGTCTCTAACTCACCGCTGGTTGCCCCAACCATGGCGATACAAGTGATAAGGCCGATGAGGCCGTGCCGTGTAGTGAAGTGATCTGCTTTGTTGTTGTCTTTGTTGGTGATGATAGTAGCCAGGGCTATGAGAGCACTGGACACAGCTACCAGCTGACTCAGCAGGTGAATGGTGACTTTGCTAGAGAGTTTAGCTGAGGCGTACAGAGGATGATTACGGGACAGAGCGAAGATTCCGTTCGGCATGGCCACCAGGAACTGAACACAGAAAATGAAAATGATGCATGGGAGAATAAGCGACAGGAACAGGAGGAACGGAGATAGATAGATTGAGAGACAGAGAGAGAGACACACAGAGAGAGAGAGAGAGAGAGAGAGAGAGAGAGAGAGAGAGAGAGAGAGAGAGAGAGAGAGAGAGAGAGAGAGAGAGAGAGAGAGAGAGAGAGAGAGAGAGAGAGAATCACATATAGAAAAGAATGACGGAAACTGGTCGCGAGTAATATTCGTCATACTGGATAACACGTTATTTTCAGTGTAATTTTAATTTCGGTAGAGAATTCAGCCACCTAAATTTAGATTACACCTAAAAGGCACTAGAGTATGCACTGTATGCGAAGGGTAGGCTGGTCACCTAATTCTACATTACACCTGAAACCTGGCGGGTCCCTGGTGCCGAAATTTAAATTCACCAAAAATTACATGATATACAGTACATGAACACGGACGATCCTGTGTTTGCAAGCACCCTCCCGCCACCACCACTACCACCACCACCGCCACAGGACGGTACGGGGCCAATACGAGATTCTGCGCCAACCATGGCGCGTCACGTGAGAGGCCCTACCTCAGACACGAACAGGCGTCAAATTAAAGCGGTGTGGACCCTGGCTAGCGCCAGACGCTACTAGAAGCAGCGTATTTTGCATAGCTACGGGAACGAGAGAGCTTGGAAGCTCAGGGCCCTACGCTATGCTTTTTTGCTAAGCTCATCGTGCATGTTGTTAGAACTGATGGATATGTTTTTTTCCTTTGATTAGATACATCATTGTGTTGCAAAAACGTTTCAATGAGTTACTGAAGTAACGTCTTCTGCATAGCTACAGGACCGGCGCTGACTCGGCCGATCACGGGCGTTCTGGAGTCGACGGGATGTCTGTCCTGACGTTTCCTGGGACCGGCGCTGACTCTGCCGATTATTATTATTATTATTAATTCAACATCTCCTGGCTCGTCAGAAGACTGCCAATATATATGAGAAGTCGGGTGGTAGCCAACCACGGCGAACTGAATAATAAGGAGAGAAACAAAGAGAGTACTGCAAGGGGAGGCATGACGAAAATGGTGAGATTATTTAGGACGAAGAAGCTGAAGCTTGAACTCCTTAATGTCTGTGCATGCTTTAAGGCTAGTTGGATCACGGGGGTTCTGGAGTCAACGAGATGTCTGTCCTGACGTT